AACGAAAAAATGAAAACAGTTTAATGTCCTTTTGGGACCACAACTGTCAAATACTAATCTGGCGCATGTGCTTATACCCAAATCTCATACACACACATTTCTTTCTGTATTTGTACAGACATTATTGTGAAAGCTAGTTGATTACGATCTCTTTTGTTTTAATTAACTAAACAATATAGATTCCTATGCAGATATTTGCTTAAATATAAGTTGGTTCCAGACATGAGACATGTGATCAAAATTTAAATTAGAAAAATCCATAAATAAATCATTTTAAAAAACTAGTGTTTAAGTAATTGATTAAAAGATAAGGGTTTCGTTACTTTCATTACAGAAAGATACACTGAACAGAACCATTCAAAACAAGACCTACAGGCCACAGAGCATACAATGCAGACATCAACACAGGGACCCTCTGGACTGTCCTTATATGGTTTGGTTTTGTACAGGGAAAAAATAAAAATAAAATCGAGAGGCTCGAGATCTTTTAAGCACTAATGCAAAGCTTTCGTTCTCCAATGTGGGATATTTTCGTAACACAATTAACATTTTTCTTATTTATGTACAAATATAATCTTTTCTTTTTTCGAAAGTTTCATATGCTTTTTTTTTCAATGTTATTTTCTTGGCAACCCTTTGGTGGTGACCACAGAGACGAGAACTGGTCAAATTACAATATCAATTAAAAGCAGAAAGCGGAGTTGAGTTGAGACGTCCATTTAGTTTCAGCATCTAATTCTGCTTTATACATGTCATGGATAAGTTTGGATCCAAGCCAAAAATTAGGACCCTTAAGAGTTGCCTGACTCACAAGGATTAGCATACCTTTGGACATATGTTTTTGGCTCAGAACTTCACTGCATATTATTATTTTTATTATTTGCACCGATGCCTCTCATCTTTCTATTCAGCTCATTTGCGTGAACTTATGTGATCGATAAATGTGGTTTAAATAGATAATATATATTACGAGGAAATGGGCCGCATCTTCGACGAGGAATGAGGGAAGTGGGTCTGTGTTTTTGGTACCCAGAAAACAACCTTTGGGGCCTTGCTGACTTGCAGTTGCTCGGGCCCAGAAATTTAACTCTGAATCCACATGCAATTAATTGTAATTTAGAAACTACGAAAATCAGTGACACCGCACAGCTGAGAATGGGAGTCCCCACCATTAGAGAGATTATCTTGATGGATCACTTTCTTATGATTAAATTATGAAGCTAGAAATTTATGATTGTTCTATAACCTAGACTTTCTCACATCATACAGCTACACTTCTGGTCCAAAAATTCATTCTTTTTGTGCTTCAAGAGCCTAAACCAAGTAAACATTTTACTGATTGTACATCAAGGTCGTACCTGAATGATTTGATGACATGTTAATTATGCAATATAAAGTCTTGCCTGGGGTCACCTTCCTTACCTGTCAGCTAATCATTTGATTAATGCTGGCAGCTAATCATTTAATCATTTGATGGGTCACTTTGAACAGTTTATATGAGGATCTGATTGACCAACATTCATCACTTCTTGATCTGTACTGTGTTCCATTTCTGCATGATAGGCATTATGTTGCTCCTGCAATTATTTCACAAGCTCTTCCACCTGGCTCCTGAATTCACTAGTTTGACATAAGCCTTCTTGAAATCTTCAAAGAAAACGTCCTGGTCCTCAGCATACTTTGTGATCCATCTGTACACGAAATAAGCTTCTCTTCAGTGGGATATGAATACAAAACACATACTACATGTAACATAAACATGAAAGTTGATACCTACAATGCAAACGAATACTCGTGTATACCGAAAATGTATGCGTTTTGCTTGCATGGATTAGGCAATATCTAATAACTTTCTGATTACTAGAGCATAAACATATCAGATAAGTAGACACATATTTATGAGAAATATGTAAGTCAAAGTAACTAAATTAGTTGGCTAGCTCAAGGCAACGTGACAAATTTTCATTTCATTTCCAAATCCAGATTATTAGATACAGACTTAAACCCTTGCATTTTCTTTTTACAAAAGAAAAAAACATGTGATGATCATTATCTCAACTAATGTGAAGAACTTGTGGATTGATTTAACCTAAATTAGATTTGTCTTGCATAACTACTGTTTAAAGAGATATTCGCTCTTTATTTCAAAGTCTTCCAGCCGAATTACATTCATTTCAATACTTGTTTTAATAACTGGTTTGGCTGGCTTAAATGCTTATCAACATATGGAAGAGCAGAAAAAAGGACAGCTGAAAGTTTTTGAAAGAAAATAGACCTTAAGCATTCATCATCCTTGGCAAGTGCACGATCTGAAGGAAGCCCAATCATACTACCTGCATGCAAAGAATAGAATCAGTAACAGCACAGTAAAGAAAAGGAAACTTTCACAAGGGGAGAAAATAAATGTATACAAAGTCATGAATTTTTAGAGGTGTATAGATAAGTCGCAACAATGTTTTCCCTCTATCATGGATCGCATGAAAGCATGCATTCATTGGGAAAAAAAAAAAAAGGACCATATTAATCAAGCAAATTGATTAAATCGCACTTGTGCATGAAAACGAAAAAAATAAACTGTTTGAAGATCAAACAAAAATTGGAAGTTCACTCTTATGAAAAAGCAATTACTCAAATAATAGAACATGATTACTCCATTACGTTCATCTTTTTCTGTTATTATATCATGTTTTAAGTTTGTAACATGAACTCCCCAAGAGAGGCGAGCTTAAGTGAGAGCAGGGTTTTCTCTTTCAGCCTATTATCCATGTCACTGCTATTTACCCGAAGATGGTTTCTCAAGCAGAATTTTGAAGTATGTATTGTCAAAAACTGTTGGACTTCCGAAACCTTTATTTCCAATGGTATGAGCTCCTGACAGAGCAACAAGTTCTTGAGTTCTGCAAAAACAAAACAGTCACGTTTTAGTTTAAACCTGTACCAAGCAGAGCCTGGGATGATAAACTTTTCCCCAGTGCTTTACTTACAAAAAGGAAAAAAATACATCTAGAACATACAAATTGAAAAAGGTATCTTTTAGCATATATGAACTCACGAAAAGCCTTTTGTTTGAAAGCTTTGCCTCAGAGCAAAGGCATCCAGAGATTCTGCAGGAAGTTTTCCTTCAGGATCAGGCTCCCTAAAACAAAAAGATGAGAGAATGAGATAAGTAGCTATTCACAATGTCATTTCTAAAAATTGGAATTATCAATTTTTGGTAGGATAGGATTAGATTGATGCTCCATATTAATGCTGCAGAGAAACAAGACTTAGAGTTTTCTTTCCACTAACTCTACTTTTTTCTTTTTCGTTATAGTATTTCTAGTAGCATTAATAATACTTGGCAACTGAAATATTGAGGATTCAAGCACGAGGTTGTTTTTCCATTGATGCAGCTTACTTTGAATCTAATCTGCCCAACGAAACTTGGATTGTTGGACCTCCACATATTGAAACTGCTTCAGCTCCAGCCACAGAAATCATGTCTGCCCAGGACACTAATTTTGGAAACATCCACATGTTAGCACAGCGCTAAAACAACCATTAATACGGAAACCTAGTCAAACAGTATTTCAGAAGATAGAAACCTGGTTGTACTGTATCCACCTCACTCTTTGCTTTCTCTAGAATCTAACCAACAATTTAATCCACCAAGAAGTTAGCTGGTAGAAGATCGTTTAAACGACTCTTATTTAATCGATATCTTTGTTCAACAAATTAAGAATTTGGGAATTCGATGGAAAGTAATGAACAGATACGCATATAAGAGAGAGAGGGCATGCCTTGAAAGGACTTTTAAGACCTTTATTTTCTGGTCTATCAAGTTCGTAAATGACAGAACCATTCATACCGCCTGCAATAGCAACATGAATGAACTTCAGACAATATCTATATTTCAAAGGAACACATGTCAGTGGTTGGCAATTGATTGTGCAATGAAACAATTCTGAACCATTGGCGTATCGGCTACTCACAACAAATCTGAACCATTCGTATATGAATTCCAATTCCAGTTGATATTGCTTCAATTTGAAAGGCCAATGCAGCCATGGAAATGAGTAAAAAACAATGGCTAATGCATACAAATATAGACACCTGAATTCTCATCAACTTGAAAGGTCCCTGCATCATGAAACACCAAACGAAGCACACCAGCAGCCTTACCCTTGGTCACCACCTTCCTAATTTCCTCCTTCACAAGCTCATATTCACTTAAATCCGACCTTTCAAATGTCACAGAAAAAACCCAGTAATTACTTTACAAATATTAATACCCACAAAATTGAAAAGATCGAAGATTTTGTTTAACTCACTCTACCGCCTTCGCAGCAAAGGCCTCTATGCATTCAGAGAAAGGAAGAAGCAATGGCAGTGTGGCTGTCAGTGTAAATACCAGTCCTCTTCTTCCCAAGACGCGATCTTTTCCTGTGATTTTGTAATAATTGGTGCATCAAATAGTACAATTCAGCTTCCTTCCATTGTTCTAAGCAACCCAACACAGTCAACACCTAATCTAATCCGTGATTCATTAGGGTTTTGCTTGCTTTTACCTGAAGAAGCGGCGTTGGCGGGGGTGAGAGGGTTGGCACGAAAATTGACCGTTGAGGGGGATTTGGCGGGAAAATTGAATTTTAATGGGAATGTGGAGGAAGATGTAGTGGAGGAGATAAGGGAGACGGTGGAGGTAGTTGATGCCATCTGTAACGGACGGTGGAGGTAGTTAAGAAATGGGTTTGTGCGCCTTCGAAGAAGAGAGATTTTTATGTTGGAAAGGGGACTCATCCCCTGCGGTCGAGTCCAGGGGATCAATGTACTCTTAAACACCACAAAGCTTAAGATTTGTTAAAAGCCAACCTTTGTTTCTGCGGATGTTGTTTTGGGTTTTTTTTTCTTTCTTCCTTTCTAAAGAGAGGTTGTTTTGGGTCTTAAAACATGCACCTTTTACTTGGGCATCTTGAAAGACGAATGGGGATTGCAAGCTTTGTAATATCTCTTTATTTTGCAATACTAAACTATATCGAACGCTTTATTTACAGAAGAAAAGCAGGAGCTAAGAAACAAGAAAGTGATTAAGCTTAGAAAGTAATGGCTAATGTTACAAAATTTGAGTAATGGAAGAAATATACAGAAATATGGGTGAAAAGCAATGTATACATGGTTTAGCCATCACCCATTAGTGCCTCAGGATCGTCTCTCATCTTGAGTAAATGTTATCTTGGGCCCGAAAGGCGCACTGCAGAAAGGTAGGCATCAGTGTTGCAGTCGGATGGTCCTGAGGAAGTTCCCTCCTCGCTGCTCGATTTGAAGAAATTCGAAAAAAGGCGAGAACCCATCGAGTTGGCAGCTGGAGGCTGAGGAACAGGAAAGAGGCCTTCAAGCATTTGGACAACCTTGGTCATTGATGGCCTCAAAGACATATCTTCTTGTATGCACCATAGAGCAACCATAATGGCTGTGTGTACCCTCTCGTCTGCTTCAACGTTCCCTAGCTTCCCATCAAGGATGTCCTTCAGTCTGCCTTCTTCCAACATCTTGAAGGCATACGATGGAAAATGCGATTTTTCAGAAGTCTCTGTCGGGTCGTAGTTTTTTCTCCCACCAACGATCTCTAGCAGTAGCATTCCATAGCTATACACATCACTCTTCTCTGATATGGCATAGTTGGTGATCCACTCTGGTGCAAGGTACCCTCGAGTTCCTCTTAGTGTTGTGAAAACATGGCTCTGCTCCCTGGTCATTAGCTTTGCCAAACCAAAATCTGAGACTTTGGCAAGGTAATTATTGTCAAGCAGAACGTTTTCAGGCTTTATGTCACAGTGAACAATCTTCGAATCGCAATCTTCGTGCAGATAAGCTAGTCCTTTAGCCGTACCCAATGCTATATTGAATCTTGTCTCCCAATCCAACAGGAATTCTCCCTTGTTTTTCTTGAAGATCCATTTATCCAGAGATCCATTTGCCATGTAATCATAAACAAGAAGTCGATAGCTTGCTTCTGCACAGAAGCCCCTGAGCCGGACCAAGTGCAGGTGATGGATACTGCCAATGATGCTGACTTCAGCTCGAAACTCTTTCTTTCCCTGACCAATGCCTTCCAATTTCTTCACAGCCACTCGAGTTCCATCTGGGAGAATGCCTTCGTAAACTGAGCCAAAACCTCCTTGCCCAAGCTTCACCGAGAAGTTATCAGTTGCAGTTTGAAGATCTTTGTAACTGAAACGGATGGGCATCCCAGTCAAATTTTCAAAGAAATTGTCCTCTTCTGAATTCTCAGGAGATTCTGGGGATTTTCTCTTCCTCCTGTAGTATCGATATCCAGCATAAAGTAAGCCACAAATAACAAGTATTGTCGAGACGGCTATGACCACAATATACGGAAAGTGTTTCTTGTTGCTGCTGCTCGCCCCAGTACCACTGCCTCCATCTTTCAAGACCTTAATGTAAGAAACAAAGCCAGATCCCTTGTCTGAATTTTGGAAGCTACCTATCCTGTCAAACAAAAAGCAATCTCTTGTACTGTTTTGGAAGAACAAAGCAACACATGAACAGTTTCCAAGGCAAGATGTTTGGCAACGGTTCAAATCAGTTTTTGAAGAGGGTGGAAGGAATCCCAGTGCAAAATAATAGAGCCCGTCCCCAGCATTTACAAGTTCTGTAGAACGCTTTGAATTATCACATGAGGAGACAATCCCCGCCTTGCAATTTGGACGGGAGCTGAGACCCGAAGGGCACTGACACTTGTTGTTACTGTAACATTCAAAATATGCATCACAAGGTTCCGGGGTGCTGCAAGGATCGCTTGGTATTTTTGTTCCTGAAGGACCACTTGACCCTCCATTCTGAAGATTGTTAAAAGTGATAAATCCATCACTTCCTAACACAGCAATCCATGTGGCATTTGCATCAGTATCAGTCGAGAAAATAAATTGCCACAACAACGCTTTGGTTCGATCATAGAACTTCCATGAATTTTCACTGATAGATGCTGAAGTGACCACCCCACCGTCTTTGTTAATAGTTTTACGGTTTTCTTTAGCCATAGACCAATAAGGCTGTGGTGTTTGGAAACCTGAAGAAAGAATCATGTCCCCGGACTTGATTTCAAGAACATAGCTCAAGTTGTTGGAGCTAGGATTGCTTACAAGTTTCATTCCATCAAGAAAATCCTGGTTCCATAATAGGGTATCAGTTGGATGGCTAAAACTTTGCCAAACTACCCCACTGTCATCTCCAAGCAAAACCAAATTTCCTGAGTCCTGCAATTCGATTGCAGAAATATTTTTACCACCAGTATCCACAGACCAAATCACACTTCCATCTTTCTGCAAGAACACACCGCCCTTAACATCAAACTCAAATTTATCAGAATTTGAAACCGGGGACACCCTATTTGCAGTCCAGACTACTGTCGAACTGTCCATGTGGACAATAACTAACAGAAACAATGTGACATCTTGGGGAGTAGTATCGAAGCCAAAACCAAATTCAGAACTGTTAGATAATAGAAACAACCCGTTATTATCAATCCAATTCATCTGAGCCCCTTCGAAAGGCGGAGTAATCTTGCCAAATTTTCGAACACTAGCCAGGCATATTTTGGAAGAGAGAAAAGCAGACAAAAATATGAATCCCATGAAATGAAAGAAGTTCCAATTCCCCATGGCTGCTATAAGAACCAGTACTTAGCCAAGATTTCGAAAACCAAATGATTGCAGAAGAACAATACAGCTAACCAAAGAAGAGACGAGACATATTTACAATAGAAAGAATCATAAAGAAAACAAGGATGTGAAGAAGAAAATAATGACTTTCAACAGTCTGCATATGAGGTAGCCAATCACAGGATCTATGTTCAGAAACTGAATCTAACAAATTCCCACTTTAAACATAATCCCAAATTATTTTCAAACGTCCAGACAGTGACCAAAAAAGATTACCACACCAAAGGCAGCATATAACTTCACATGTCAAGCTGAATTGAGAAAGAGGTGAGAGGTACCAGGAGTTGAATAGAACTGGCTAGCCGGTGCAAAGAAGAGAACTTTGACCCGGAAGGATCAAGATGAAAACACGTGTGAATAGGAGGAAAGCCTTTCAGCAGTTTAAGCATGGATTTTCCATGAACACTTTTCTTATCTACCAACTGCCCCCTGAGTCTTACTTTACTGCATTGAATACAGCAAGAAGATCCAAAATTTTCATAGCTAAGCTCGGTGGCTGCAATTTTCAGACAATCCTAGCTCCAGGACATAAAAAAAACACAAAATTTGACAAAAACCCAGCTGAGGTGTGAACTTAAGGTGTGAAAGTAAGAGACTTGACAATGTCAATTGATGGGCAATTATCCATTCAGCCATGAAATGAGAAGGAAACGAACTTTGTGCCAGAAAAGAGGAAAATCAAAGGGTAATTCTCATTTGGCCATGAAACGAAAGCATGTGAGCAGAGAAACAGATTATGTGAAGAGAATCAGATACAGATGTAGAGTCTCATGTTCATCAATTAATGAAGTATTTAGAGGAATAGGACAGAACCACAGACAGAGAGAGAGAGAGAGAGAGAGAGAGAGAGGTAGCTCTCACCTCCTCAATTTGAAGGTGTGAAACAGAGGTAGCAGAAACAAGTAGTGGCTTTGCGGCATGGGTCTCTGGCTTTTTCCTTAATGTGTTTCTCTGCTTCTGTCACAAGTTTGAGAGATCTGAGGTAAGGCTTTGTTTCTTTTTAAAATGTCGTTCAGAAACCGTCAAAAGAGAAGGTCTTTTTGTTGATTGACAGATCCAATAATTAATTGTTTATTCATTAGAAACCGTTATTTAATTCATTTCCAATTTCTCATTTCTCATTTCTCATTGGGTTGATTTTAGAGCATCCACAGTGGGGAGTGTAAATTCGGGAGTGTAAAGCCACTTTTACATCTCCTTTATATTTTCAAGGGGTGTAAATATGTTTTTTTGTTCCAGTGTGGGGTGTAAATTCGGGGGTGTATTGGTGAAAAAATATTTTGTATTTATTCATGAATGGTGAGATTAAAGTTAGAGAGGCTTTGAATGAGGTATGAGTTTATTTTTTGTCGTTTTTCAAATTTATGATTTTGTGATGGTCGTTGGTTGTGTTTAGCACACCAATATCGAACACAATAGGTAAATTCAATGGAATGCCACCAAAATATTACACCTATTTCGGTTGTATTTGACTAGTTATTAACTTAAGATGGCATCTATTTCGGTTATGTTTGGGGGCCAATAAAGTCACCCATTCCCATTTCCCATTTCCCATGACTACTACATAAGCCGCCTTCTTCCTTTTCTCTCTTTTTATATATTTTCTTTGGTACGGAGGAGGGCTAAAGCCCCAAACAAAACAAACTAAACGGGGCCTAGCTACACCACTAACATCAGCATCCATATTATCACCAAGAAAAACATGAACCTCCTCAAAAACATGAGGCTAAGGTTGTAGCTCATAGTTCTTGGCAGCCAAAGCATCAGCAGCACCATTCTGCTCACGAAACACATGCTGAATAGAACAGATCCACTCCTCTTGCATCAAGCACTTAAAAACAATTTATAAGACTAAAGAGAGGATGGGTAAATAAAAGAAAAAATGAATTTAAATTGTAAATAATTGCCTAATGATATGTGTTCAATCTAGAGTTGAGAGACACCACGTAAAATGAAAGTTAGGTCGGTTGGTTAGGGTAATATGTCCCTTTTGATATACTTCGACTTTAAATTTTCTGCTCTTAAATTAGAGCGTCAACTCAGTGTGAATTAAAACATTTATAATTTAAAGAAAAAACTGAAAATTTGATTCTGTATGGAGTGTAATTTGCGATGTTTAAATTCTTCAGGCTTTTATGTATTGTATCGTATAAAATATTCCCAACTGTGTGAAAAAGGATATATTTTGGATTTTATTTTGGTTGTTGTTCAACTTCTGGAAATGGCAAGACATAATCAGTAAGGGTGGTGGTTCAACCTTCAAATATTTTTCTTTTATTTAAGTAAGAACTTTATTTATTTATTTAGTTATTACTTGGATAGACATGAAATACTGTGGTGGTTGGAGAGTTGGGACCTTTCTGGGTTTTTACCTTAATGATGCATGGTAGATGAGTTCGAGTTGAATGCAAAAGTTGGATAATTAAATGCTTAGTTGGACCGAGGCGAATTTGGTCAAGTTTCTGGCCAATGGACTCGTTGCCCGTTAGAGCACTTCCACCAGTTAGCCCCTTGCCATGGCAAGG